CCCACAGATGAGGAGTCTCTTTTCCCTGAAGGCAAAAAACAAGGAGTCCAGGGACTGCATCAACGTAACTTCTCTGGAGGTACCTGAGATTGGAATAAAACAGGAAAGCCTCCCATATAAACTGCATCAAGTGCACTATCCTCATAGTATAACCACAGTCACCGATCTACATTGAATTATAATTACTGCTCTTGCTCAGCAGAGATGGCAGGCCAGAGTAACCAACAAGGTTGAGAGAGTTTCAGTGCAGAGCCATCTCCTCTTCCCCTTACCTGGGAGCTAGAGTAACAAAAGGCAGAGAAGATGAGCTGGGGTTTCCATAAGTCTTTCTGGGCCCTAACTGAGCAGATCTGACCCAGGAATTGATATGGGATCTGGAAAGTAGCGTGGCTGGGAGAAACATGCCAAAAAACATGGGAAGGTGCTGGGCTTCCAAGTGCAGAAACCACCTCCCTCCTTTTCTTCGCACTGAGCAATCCATGCCCGGGTGGTTGGGTCAGAAAGGCTATTGGCTCGGCATGAGAGTACGCCCTCTCCCCTCTGGACACACAATTTAATCTCTGTCCTCCTACCTCACCAATCACCTGGGCTCAGATAGATTATGTTTAGTACAAACCTCTTGAAAGAAAAAATAAAAATCAGTGGTTTATTTTTTCTCTATCTTCCCCCAGCATGCCCAGCCATCTTCCTTGTCCCATGACTGTACCTGGCTGAAGCCATTGATCAGAAATTCATCTTCCATATGAACCATTCCTTTACAGCTTTGCCATCTTTTCTGTGAGCCCTGAAAATGTTCTAGCCTTTGGAAGAACTAGTAAAAGACAATAATTTGTTAGGCCAAGCATTGTGGGTGCATGAATGACCACAGCGGCAAAGATAAGCAGACTCCAGGCTCAAACTCTTCAGTATGTAATTCCACTCCCTGCAGACAGACGACGGTGCTGTCCAGCTAACCAGGAAAATTTTGCAGTGGTATCTTCTCTTCTCTAGAGCACTCCATTCTGCACAACACAACCATTCACCCAGATTCACACTCTTTTTAACAGTTTTGAAAATCTCTGTTCACATCACAGATGAAAACAAGAATCTTATCTGGGGTTTCCATGTGTTCCTCAGAATTGTGAACATGGAGTGGTGAGTGAGGTTGCCCCAGACAGGCTGGGAAACTCCTTGTATTACATTATATTTAAAATTATTAATAAAAATTGTGAAAATTTGTTTTTTATTAATCTAAATATCTAAGTAATGTATTCACTTTTCTTTCTTGGCTAATAACATTGAAATATCAATTATCTGATTTCTGATGTAATCTGGTAAGTTTTGTCTTTTAAATAGAAAGCCAATAAAGTCACTATAGTTATTACTTATGTAGTATATATTATATATCATTATATATGGAATATAGTGAATTAAGTACAATAGTGTTCTATTTTTATTATACATTTTTTGGAAATACAAACTATCACTTGAGACAAAATATACAGGTTCTGAGAACTGTGATTTTCTTATCTCCTCAGTATGAAAAAGGAGTAAAAAAAGAAAAGGGAATATTGTCCATGTAACAAGCAGTTTAATCCACTCTATTTTTTAAAGTTATACTTTAAGTTCTGGGGTACAGATCTTGCAGGATTGTTGCATAGGTACACACATGCCATGGTGGTTTGCTGCCTCCATCCCCCCATCATCTACATCAGGCATTTATCCCAATGTTATCGATCCCCAACCTCCCCGCCCCCTGCTATTCCTCTGCTAGTCTCCCACCCCCCACCAACAGACCCTAGTGTGTGATGTTCCCTTCCCTGTGTCCATGTGTTCTCATTGTTCAACACCCACCTGTGCGTGAGAACATGCAGTGTTTGGGTTTTCTGTTCTTGTGTCAGTTTGCTGAGAATAATGGTTTCCAGATTCATCCATGTCCCTGCAAAGGGCATAAACTCATCCATTTTTATGGCTGCATAGTATTCCATGGTGTATATGTGCCACATTTTCTTTGTCTGTTCTATCATTGATGGGCATTTGGGTTGGTTTCAGGTCTTTGCTATTGTAAACAGTGCTGCAATGAACATTCATATGCATGTATCTTTATAATAGAATGATTTATAATCCTTTGAGTATATATCCAGTAATGGGATTGCTGGGTCAAATGGAATTTCTATTTCTAGATCCTTGAGGAATCGCCACACTGTCTTCCACAATGGTTGAAATAATTTACACTCCCACCAATAGTGTAAAAGCGTTCCTGTTTCTCCACATCCTCTCCAGCAGCTGTCTCCAGATTTTTTAATGATCACCATTCTAACTGGCATAAGATGATATCTTAATGTTTTGATTTGCATTTCTCTAATGACCAGTGATGATGAATATTTCTTCATATGCTTTTTGGCCACATAAAATGTCTTCTTTTGAAAAGTATCTGTTCATATACTTCGCCCACAGAAAAACATTCCATGTTCATGATTAGAAAGAATCAATATTGTGAAAATGGCCATACTGCCCAAAATAGTTTATAGATTCAATGCTATCCCCATCAAGCTACCATTGACCTTTGTTACAGAACTGGAAAAAAACACCTTAAACTTCATATCAAGCCAAAAAAGAACCTGCATAGCCCCAACAATCCTAAGCAAAAAGATCAAAGCCAGAGGCATCACACTACCTGACTTCAAACTATACTACAAGGCTAAAGTAATCAAAACAGCATGGTATGGTACCAAAACAGAGATATAGACCAATGGAACAGAACAGAGTCCTCTGAGGCAATGTCACACATCTACAACCATCTGATCTTTGACAAACCTGACAAAAACAAACGATGGGGAAAGGATCCCCTGTTTAATAAATGGTGTTGGGAGAACAGGCTAGCCACGTGCAGAAAGCTAAAACTGGACACCTTCCTTACACCCTACACAAGAATTAATTCCAAATGGATTAACGATTTAAACATAAGACCTAACACCATAAAAATCCTAGAAGAAAACCTAGGCAATACCATTCAGGACGTAGGCATAGTCAGGGACTTCATAACTAAAACACCCAAAGCAATGACAACGAAAGCCAAAATAGACAAATGGGATCTAATTAAACTTAAGAGCTTCTGCACAGCAAAAGAAACAATCATTAGAGTGAACCAGCAACGAAGAGAATGGTAAAAATTTTTTGTAAGCTATCCATCTGACAAAGGACTAATATCCGGATTCTACAAAGAACTAAAGCAGATTTACAAGAAAAAAACAAACAACCCCAATCCACTTTTTTTTTCTGTTTGCATATGCAATCTTTTTTTTTCTTTTATTTATTTATTTATTTATTTTTTATTGCATTTTAGGTTTGGGGTTACATGTGAAGATCATGCAAGATTGTTGCGTAAGTATACATGTGGCAGTGTGATTTGCTACCTTCCTCCCCCTCACCTATATCTGGCATTTCTCCCCATGCCATGCCCCCCAACTCACCACCCTCCGCTGTCACTCCCCTATTTCCCCCCAAGAGACCTCAGTTTGTAGTGCTCCCCTCACTGTGTCCATGTGTTCTCATTGTTCAACACCCATCTATGAGTGAGAACATGCGGTGTTTGATTTTCTGATCCTGTGTCAGTTTGCTGAGAATTATTGCTTCCAGGTTCATCCATGTCCCTACAAAGGACACGAACTCATCGTTTTTGATGGCTGCGTAATATTCCATGGTGTATATGTGCCACATTTTCCCTGTCCAGCCTATTATCGATGGGCATTTGGGTTGGTTCCAGGTCTTTGCTATTGTAAACTGTGCTGCAATGAACATTCGTGTGCATGTGTCCTTATAGTAGAACGATTTATAATCCCTAATCCACTTTTTACAAACCTCCCAGGCATCTAGATATATGCAGACTCCTAGGAAGAGTGCTCCCCACTGAGCACCCACTGTTTGCCAGGTACTCCCATTACACTGGGATACAGTAGTGCAAATAATAGACAATGGCCCCTGACCCCAGGAAGCTTAAATTCTACTAAAGTCTCCCTTTCAAGTGTAAAATCATGAAGAAATAAGCTATATCATAAGTCAGAACGTGAAAAGTGCTTCCAACAAGAGCGTGAAGTAGGGTGTCCTATGAACACATTCGGAGGGATCATTACGATGGGAAGCTCTGGGTCAGCTTTGGGAGTGAGGGACTGAGCCCAAAAGGGATCTGGGAAAAAGCATCACTGCTGAGGGAGCAGTGAGAGTGGAGCGCCAATGGCGAGACTGTGTAAGGCTTGTTTAGGGTAGAACCAGGAAACCAGAGTCCAGAGCCCAGTAAGTCAAAGGACAGGTCCATAAAAGGGGTTGTATAAGTAACAAGAAGGGTTCAGGGAAAATGGGGTCAGGTAGGCATTGGAAGGAATTGGCCTTTTACTCTGATCATTATCTTTTGCTAGGTCTCTTTGGAATAGGACCCTGGCTGGTCAGCTGTAAGCAGATGCCCTAGAAAATCAGGCAGCTTCATCAGGCAGAGAGGATCAGCAGCCCCAAGCCTGAGCTTCCCAGTCATGTTGAGGACCACATGATTGGAAATTATACCTTCTGCAGCAGACGCACCCTGGATTCATGGCAAGATCCAGGGAATCCTTTCTTTTCAGCATTTGCATCTTTACTCCCATGCCACCAAGATTTTGAAGACTGTTTGAAGACTAGTTTAGACTCCCATTTCTGTACTTAGAAAACAATTCTACCTGGAATTCTAAGAGTGGTGTGTCCTTTATGATATTAATTCCAACTGACAACTGTAACTCAGACTCCTCAGGTGTGATCATTTTTGTTCTTTGTGAAATCAGAAGAGGCTTTGCCAAGTCCGTGCTGCTGGGGATGAGGAGAAGGAAAGACAGTTAAGGTATATAAGAAGCTTGATTGCACATTCTACAAAAACTTTCCAGTGACCTTCAAAGTGTAGATGCAATTTGGGAAATGTTCTCAGCAGATAGAGACAGCAGGAGGAGCAGTTAGGGCGGCGCAGACTCACACATCTGTTTCCCTATGGGGTTTTTGTTATGATTTATAACACTGTGAGAGGGTAACCATAATCCTGTTGACAGTAATAAGTTGCAACATCTTCAGGCTGCAGGCTGCTGATGGTGAGAGTGAAATCTGTCCCAGATCCACTGCCACTGAACCGAGATGGGACCCCTGTCTGCAAACTGGATGCAGCATAGATCAGAAGCACAGGGGCTTTCCCTGGCTTCTGCTGATACCATTCTAACTCATTGCTAATGCTCTGACTCGCTCGGCAAGTGATGGTGACTCTGTCTCCTACAGATGCAGACAGGGAGGATGGAGACTGAGTCATCTGGATGTCACATCTGGCACCTGAGATTGGAAACATAAACACAAACATCCACATAATTAATCATGTAATAAGAAGTCCTCCCTGAAAATCCAGCCACTATTGAGCACACTGGCTGAGTAAATTCCCAGTGTTCTCCTTCCTTACCTGGGAGCCAGAGCAACAGGAGCCCAAGGAGCTGAGGGGGAACCTTCATGTCCATGCTGTGTCCTGACTGAGACTGACTCCTGCACAGGGTGTGACCAGCCTATTAAGAAGACTTCAGGGTAGGAGCTGTGCTCTGGGACATGCAAATCAGCAGAGGACGCGGCAGGCTGGGCACAGCTATAGGGCTGGCTCATCTCAGTAACTCAGCACAGGGGCAGTGTCCCTGGGGTCTCAGGTAAAACCAGAGCAACACAGATTTGTCTTCAATGTGTTTCTTCCTGGGGGCCATTTTGTATCAAAGAACATTTTTTGATAATTGTCACAATTTGAAATATTGCCGAGTAATTGAGAGAATAATGTGTTCTATTAGTGTATGGGGATTATTTAGGAGAATACTCTTCTCTGTAGGAAAGTCAAAGTATAGGCTTTAAGGGTGGAATCAGCAGGTCTTCAGAATACTCTGAATGGGAAGGGAGTACTTTGTGCTATACTTACAACATTTCTGTGACTGTGAAATTGTTCCTTCTTTTTTAAAAAAAAAGGCAAATATTTATTGAGATAATGCTAAATACGTTTATAGGTATTTTATAATAACCTTAAGTCATTCTTATAATCAGTACAAGGTTAAGCAATTCACTGCAGGTGCACAAAGATGGTAGCATAAGTCCTCAAAGCATGTGTCACTCACATATCCATATTTACGCAAACTTACCAGAGATTATATGAGCTCCATCTTATTTTTGGTTTGGGGATCTCTGTATTCTACCTCCTTTTCTGTCATTGGGTATTTTTCCCAGGGTTCATCAGCAGAAAGTGTTGACTAGTGATCTGATTACTTAAAAAAAAAAAGTTACCTGTTTCTTCCTCCGGTTATAGGAGCATGGATTAAGATAAACTTGAAATTACCTAAGGATCAATTGTCTCTAAAGTAAGATCAATATTATATCCCATGAGTAATGCTCTGAGCTGTACTGCCCAACAGTATATTCCTGGGGGCTCTGGAGTAGCTCCTTTGGAATCTGGATTTCTGGAGAGCACATAAGGGAGAGAACTTGGGAAAGATCAGGACAGTGAGTCCTCTCTCCTAGTGAGGGCAACTGCTGCTCAGGGCATGGCCCTGCCTTGCACTGTCAATGCTGCTTTCCTCTTTTACTCTTTAGCAGTAAGTGGGGACATTCTGACCAAGATGCCAGCCTCCTGTCTGACATCTGGGACAGAGAGTCTCCATCTCCAATTAAGCAAATGTCCATGGTTATGGAGAAATCACTTGCAGTTGGATAAAACTGGACACAGATTTGTACCCGTTATATCTCACATCATCTCAGGCTGGTTCGGCAGCAGAGGAAGTGTATCCACCTACATCAGCATCAGTGAGCTGCAGCCTGAGGTTCTGGGGAGTATTACTGATTCCGGACTAGAAGTGACCAAGTCACTCTGGTGTAGCATCTGCTCACACCCTCCTGCTGGGGGTGGGGGTATCTGAATTTTAAAGAAACTTGCTTGTGTATGGTAAAAAGTGAAGGTTTGATTTTGCCCTCTAAAGGGTTGCTTAAAATGAATGGACAAAAGACAAATAGTAGAAGGAAAATGCAAACAAATTTATTTACCATGCAGAAAAAATATCACAGGGGAGAGAGTACCGAGATAAACAAGTGAGGTCCAGGTACAGTAATTATATACCCTTTATAGGGGAGAGGGAGATGGGAACTGTAGGCAAACTAGGGAGAGTCAGTGACATAAAATAAAATAAATGGGTCCACAAAATAATAGATAATAGCCTGTCTGGATGACATCAACTTCCAATCTCTTTTAACTCCTAGTGCATGTTAATGTTTCCTCATAGATCAACATTTCCAGGGAGCATTTTCATGACAATTGGCTTCCTTCTGGAGAAACTGATTTAGGAAAAGAGCCTTTGTTCAATTGATATTTTCTAAATGCTTTCAGTTTGAAATAATCCCCACACAAATGCAGCAAATCTTGAGATGTTATTTCCCAGATTTCTTCACTTGCAACTGACCTGCCAGGAAGCAGCATTTCAGAGAGATGCATCTCCAGGTGGAAAGTGCAGGTGCTGTTTTCTGGATGGACGCATCAGTCCATGTTTGCACCCAGGCTTTCCCCTTAACTGTGCTTCTGCTGATTCCACGTGACCATCTTTGCCCCTCACTGCTCTCTCTGAGAAAGGCAGCTCTGACTGTACGCATGGCAAACCACAGGACTGGGAATAAGCCTTCTCTCGGTCAGCACTATGGTTTCACTGTGTCCCCTCAAATCCATCTGCTGTTAACTTAATCCCCAATGCAACAGGATTGAGAGGTGGGGCCTAATGGAAAGTGTGTAATCATGAGAGCTCTGCCTTTATGAATAGATTAATGCCACTATAAGCAGTGCTTATTTTAGCTCACTCAGTGCGGTAAAGCCAATTATCCACACTGGGTTTGCAGCAGGAAAATGGAAGGCATTTATTTGCAGAGTATCAAGCAAAGAGGACCAGGTAGCTAATGCTTAAATATTGACCTGCCTGATGGCTTACAGATAAGGGTTTTTTAAAGCAGGAATAAACTTTAGGAAATCAGAAGTTACAGGCAAAATTATAAATCAATACATAGAGGTTACATATTGGTTTTGGCCTAAGGGAGCAGGATATCATGAAGCAGTGAGATATCTTACAAGATATTGGTGGATTCAAAAATTTTCTGATGTGCAATTGGATTAGGAAGAGAAGCTTTGTTTAAAAATTGGAGTCAGCATTAAAGAATACTCACTCTGGCCCATGGATGTGACTTTCTCAAGGCCCTTCAGGTAGAAATTTAGAACACAGGACCAGGGTCATAGTTCAGTCTGCGGTTCCCCCTTTTCTGAGATCCATGTGCTGGTAGATCTATTTGGAGGTGTTTCTCGATTTCTGAAAAACAACTCAGAGACATATGCTAAGATGTATTCTTTAGTTTATATAGAGGAACCAAACATCCCATGATTTTATCTTCTTTTGCTGTTATTCTGGGCTACGATTACCTCCTTGTTTCTCATGTTTATTTGCTTCTCAAAACAAGGTAGGTGCCTGGAATTTCCTTTGAAGAGATCCAAGATTTTCCTTTATTTTTATGCTTGGGGATGATTCAATTGCCCGTAAGAAGAAATCCCTGGTCCGTCTCACTTGTTGAAGTTGGCCTTCTGTCTGTCTGTCTGTCTCTCTCTCTCTCTCTCTCTCTCTCTTTCTCTTCTGCTCTTCTGCTATTTATGCTAGGCCATGGCCTTCCTTCTCTTTGAAGGACACATTACTCAAGATTCTATTTTGAAAGCACAGATATCGGATGCTAAACTGCCAGTGTCTTCATCTTAGACTTCCTCCACAAATGTGAGAAAAAAAGTTCCTCTTCTTTTCTGAGTATCCAGTCTCAGTTATTTTGTTAAAATAGCACCAAGCAGATTAAGACAGACAGCCTTCAGTGGGTAATGACAAAGAGGAGGTGTATACATACCGCTACTCCCTCGCCTCTCAGGTGGAATAGCCCAGAGACATTTTCCCCATATCTCCACATGGGGTTGATCTTCAGTCACCCTAAGAGTTAGGTGGCTTGTTGAGGTGACTTTTTACTATCCATCTTCTGGTCCCTGCCTCACTTTCCTCCTTCCCTCCCATGTAAACATGCTGCCTGCACAGAAATTTTTCTTACCGGTGGACACAACCCAAGACAGAAAACAAATTCCTAGTGTTGAGAAGGCTGTATCTCGTGTGTGAATCCTTATCACTTCTCCCTTTTTGATGAGTAAAAAAATCAGGAAGCACTTAATTCCCTTTTGCCAATCTACCTTAGATTTAATTCATACAAAGAAAACCTAGGCAATACCATTCAGGACATAGGCATGGGCAAAGACTTCATGACTAAAACATCAAAAGCAATTGCAGCAAAAGCCAAAATTGACAAATGGAATCTAATTGAACTAAAGAGCTTCTGTTCAGCAAAAGAAACTATCATTAGGTTGAACAGGCAACCTACAGAATGGGAGAAAATTTTTGCAATCTATCCATCTGACAAACAGCTAATATCAAGAACCTATAATGAACTTAGACAAATTTACAAAAACCCACAAACAACCCCATTAAAAAGTGGGCAAAGTATATGAACAGACAGTTCTCCAAAGAAAACATTTATTAAGCCAACAAACATACAAAAAAATGCTCATCATCATTGGTCATTAGAGAAATGCAAATCAAAATCACAATGAGATACCATCTCATGCCAGCCACAATGGCGATCATTAAAAAGTCAGGGAACAACACATGCTGGGGAGGATGTGGAGAAATAGAAATGCTTTTGCAATGTTGGAAGGAATGTAAATTAGTTCAACCATTGTGGAAGACAGTGTGGCGATTCCTCAAGGAACTAGAACCAGAAATACCATTTGACCAGCAATCCCATTACTGGGTCTATCCTAAAAGGATTATAAATTATTCTACTATAAAGACACATGCACACTTATGTCTATTGCAGCACAATTTACAATAGCAAAGACTTTGAACCAACCCAAGTACCCATCAATGATAGACTAGATAAAGAAAGTGTGGCACATATACACCATGGAATGCTATGTAGACATAAAAAAGAATGAGTTCATGTCCTTGTAGGAACATGGATAAAGCTGAAAACCATCATCCTCAGCAAACTAACACAGGAATAGAACTCCAAACACCAGATGTTCTCACTTGTAATTGGGAGTTGAACAATGAGAATACGTGGACACAGGGAGGGGAACATCACACACTAGGGCTTGTTGGGGGTTGGGGCGCATGGGGAGAGAGATTAGGAGGAATACCTAATGCATGCAGGGCTTAAAACCTAGATGACTGGTTGATAGGTGCAGCTAATCA